GCTGGGTACAAACAAGCTTTTCAACTGACAGTCACGTGTGAAAGAATGAAGTAGACGGCTCAGCTCAGAACCACATGTAAAATCTAACTCGAAAATGACTAAGCCTGACTGCAGGGTTCGAGGCATAAAACTTTTAGAAGACATCCCGAGAAAACAGCTCCGAGATCTTGATTAGGCAACGGATTCCCAAATGTAGCATCAAAAGCGACCAAAGGAAATTAATCAAATTTTACTGAAAACCAATGGTAAATCAATAAAACTATGACTGAAAAAAAAAAGTATGTGAAAAAACTGGGGGCGGGGGGTTACACCTGGCCGTGTTCCAGGGGTCACTCCTGGCTCTGTGCTCAGGAATCACTCTTAGCTCTGTGCTCAAGGGTCACTCCCAGCTCTGTGCTCAGGGCTCATTTCTGGCTCTGTGCTCACTCCTGGCTCTGTGCTCCGGGCTGACTCCTGGCTCTGTGCTCAGGGCTCATTCGTGGCTCTGTGCTCAGGGGTCACTCCCAGCTCTGTGCTCAGGGCTCATTCCTGGCTCTGTGCTCACTCCTGGATCTGTGCTTAGGGCTCACTCCTGGCTCTGTGCTCAGCGCTCACTCCTGAGTCTGTGCTCAGGGCTCATTCCTGGCTCTGTGCTCAGGGGTCATTCCTGGCTCTATGCTCAGGGCTCACTCCCAGCTCTGTGCTCAGGGGTAATTCCTGGCTCTGTGCTTGGGGCTGACTCCTGGCTCTGTGCTCAGGGGTCACTCCTGGCTCTGTGCTCAGGGCTCACTCCCAGCTCTGTGCTCAGGGCTCATTCCTGGCTCTGTGCACAGGAGTCACTCCCGGCTCTGTGCTCAGGTCACTCCTGACTCTGTGCTCAGGGCTCACTCCCAGCTCTGTTCTCAGGGGTCACTCCTGGTTCTGTATTCAGGGCTCAGTCCCAGCTCTGTGCTTAGGGTCACTCCCAGCTCTGTGCTCAGGGATCACTCCGGCTCTGTGCTCAGGGCTCCCTCCTGGCAGGATCTGGGGAACCATGCACAGGGCCAGGGTGGGATGTGTGCAGAGCAAGTGCCTTCCCCGCGGTGCTGTGTTTCTGCCCCCTATATATTTTTCGTTATCTCCCAAGCAGCCTACTCTGAATACAAACCGAGGAGGAAGTACTCCCTCTCAGATGAAGCAGCCGTGCTCCCGAAGGGAAGCGCTGCGCCCCTGCCTCACCTGGCCCCACTCAGGTGAAAACACACAAATACAGCCACGCCAAGGGCTGAACGGAGGGACAGCTCTGACCCTAACCCTCCCCCGCGCCCCGGGACGACCTCCCAGGGAATCGCCCAGAACTTGCAGAAGACACAAGCCCGGAGGCCGCTGCTCACCACACACGCGGGTCAGTGAAACTGCAGGAACGACCTCCCGGTCCCCCTGGCCTCACTCCAAATGGCGGCGCCCCCGGGATGCAGGCACGTCAGGGGAAAGTGGCGACTGTCACGGAAACTGATTTGCAGTGAGGCGGAGGAAAGCGGGTCACAGAGCATGAGATGAGGCTTCCTCTCATGGTTATGAAAGACAAAATAAAGGGATCCCATGCGTGGTAAGGCCAGAGGAGGCCAGGCAGAGCCCCGGGGCCGAGCACGTACCCCACCCCCCACACCACACGCGGCCCCGAGCAGGGGCAGGAGGGACGGGGGTGCTTCGGGCCACTCAGGTGTCTCTGGGCACGGCGGGCAACGGGCAGGCAATGGGCACTCCATTGCTCTCCTGACTTGTCCTCGTGCTGATTTTCATGCCATGCACATGTGTTCATTTTTCTTGCTAAGACAAACAGAACTGTGAGGCGGAAGCAGGAGGCGACCCAGGGACAAAGGGGTGTGGCGGGGTGAGAGGGTCTCGGCTCGGTGGGACGAGAGGGACCCTGTTCGGAGGATTCCCGAGGGGGTTGAGCAGGAAGGAGCCCACGTGGCTCGCCGTGGACACCAGGACTCCGAGACCTGAACTCAGCTGGGATTTTTTTGGTTGGGTTGGGGGCCACGCCCGGCAGTGTTCAGGGGTCACCCCCGGCCCTGCACTCAGGAACTACTCCCGGCAGGTTTGGGGAACTGGATGGGGTGTCAGCAGCCAGCCCACTATGCCATCCATCTCTTTGTGGTTTTAGGGTCTCTGCTTAGTGCAGAGCTGGAAATGAATTCCTCCAAAGTCCCCCTCTCCAAGACAAGGTGCCCCGAAGCTGAGAAGCCGACCCAAGAACCCCCTCCCCCCCGTTTCCTCCTGCTGGCATGGGGACAGGGTGGGCCCAACCCCAGACACTGATGAGGCTCCCCAAGGACTCTGGGGTCAGGGTCGGGGGGAGTACCCTGGCCCCTGTGTACCTGGGGGTGCCCACGGGGAGGCAGTCCCACCAGAAAGTCTCGATGCGGGGGGTGCATAGAGCCCAGGGGCCAGGCACTGGTCTGGTGTGTATGTGGCAGACCTGGGTTCGGTTCCTGGCGTCCCAATGGTCCCAGGAGTGAGGGCAGAGTCAGAGTCAGCCCTGAGCACCACTGGGGGAGCACTACTGGGTGAATCTCTACTCCACCGCCCCAAACACAGAAAGTTTCAGTGTGCATTTGCGCCATGGCCTGCTACCCTGCAGGGAACAAAGCCCATCAGCCACCCGACCTACCAGGGTGGGCCAGGCTGGACAGTGAGGGGTTCTGCTCTGGTTCCTGTCTCCTGCAGTCTGTCTCCCCAGCATGCAGAAGCCTCGACACCATCAAGGCTGTCCCTGCCACCCCCTGGCTCCAGCCAGCCTCCAGAACACACCCTGGTCCCCAGGCCCAGGCATCAGCCGAGCCAAGACTCCCACTGGCCCCAAAGACATGGTCACACTGGAGAGGGCAGAGGTCTGGGGAAGGGGCAGCATCACCCACCAGGAGAGGGCAGAGGCCCACGGGGCAGGACAGGGGACAGCCGGCCCTACTGGGCTCTTTCGAGACCAGCAAAGTGGCCTCCCTGCAGATGGACTCAGGGCAGATTTCCACTGTCCAGGCCGCTGGAGGCCAGCAAGCACCGAGCATAAGCCCCCCAGCCCGGGCACGGCTATCACACCCCCTCACCTTCCCCCCATAGGGACCGCCTGGACACCTGCTTCCTGGGGCAGACTTGGCCAGGCCAGGACTTCCCACCAGCTCTGCCCCTCTACGCTGATCCAGGCAGATAGAGGGTACGCAGTGCCCAGCCCGGCCCAGACCCGGAACTCTCGGGACCAGTTGTCTGCCCAGCCAGGACACACCTGGTGCTGAGGATGCTCGGGGGCCGTGGGCACTGCAGCTGCAGGAGGGAGCCTGGGGGGTCTGGGGTCTAGTCCAAGACCCCCCCCCCCCCAGTCGTCCCCACTGGAGACTCCTCTCTCCTGCCATCCCCCAGTGCTTCCCCCAGCCTTGCCAGGGGTGAGCTGCTCTCACTTCTCACACCGGGCACGCTAGGAGTGCCCACCTCTATGCCCTCTGCCCTCTGCCCTCTGGGTGGTGTGGGCAGGTCTAGTGTGGGCCCGGTGAAGAGCATGCAGCTGCCTTCCCCCATCAGAACCTGCCGCTCCTCCTCCAGAAGGAGCTCCCGGCCCTCAGACCTCTCCTCAACACCCCCTAACCCCAAACCATCCCTGTCTGAAGATCTCTGAGCCCCACTGGGTGTGGCCTGGGAGACCCCACCATCAAACCATATGGCCTGGCGGGCGAGTACCACCTGGAGTGGCCCTGGCCCCCCATGCATTGCCCGGGACCCATTTAGGCAGCTGGGGAGATACATGGACCAGGCGTGTGGCCCCCCGAGAGGTCCCAGCAGCACTCAAGTGCCTGCTATGGCCCCGAGTCCAGGTGGGCCCTGAGCACCCCACTGTGGCCCCAGGCCCTGAGCAACATCTTGTTATTCAGCCCCAGTATGGAGTTGCCCAACCCAATTGGCCAAGAAGCACCAGAAGTGGCCCCTGCGCCCCCCCCCCCCCAAGAGCACAGCTTGGGAGACCCCCAAATTAAAACAACAACAACAACAACAACAAAAAGTCAGTAAGCACTCCAAATGGGTCAGGATGGGCCCGGAGCCACCGCACAGCGAGGAGGGCTCTTGCCTTGCACACGGCCAGCCCAGGTGAGATCCCCGGCACCACACACAGTCACCCTCAGCCTGGCTGGGAGTGACCCCCCGCACCGGGCACAGCCGGGCATTCTCCTCTGTCCTCCAAGAAAATAAGAACGAGCCGGGAGAGCAGAAGAGTGTCGAGTGCACCAGGAACAATGTGTGACTTCAGCACCATCATCTTCCTACAGGGCGACCCACCCATTTTACAGATGAGCACTGTGACACCCTCGGGGCAACTGGGACAGCACAGCTCCCTCCTATGCCGCGCCCTGGGGCAGAAAACTTACAGAAGCCCTGGGGGGGTGGGCGAGACCTCCAGCAGGACCAGAACCAGAACACTGGGAGCCAGAGGGGCAGGCGGAAGGACAGGACAGTGGGAAGGGCACCTGCCTTGTACGCAGCCACCCCAAGTCCCATCCTCAGCAGCCCAGACGGTCCCTGGGCCTGCCAAGAGAAAGCCGTGCGCACAGTCACGTATACACATGCCTCCCACCCACCCCTGGGAAAAGAAAAGGAAAAAGAAAAAAGGAAGAGTGGGCGGCCGGCCGGCAGCTCTTGGCCAGACAGCCAGGCTCTCTGAGCATCAGGCCCTCGGGACTCAGTGTCACTGGGGCACCTGGCAGAGTCCCGGCCAAGGACAGGACACAGCGTTCCTGAGGGCAGCTTTCCTATCACATCATGCGGCCTCCGGCCTGGTTCCAAGGACAGAGCAGGACGTCAAGGGTCAGGTGGCCCAGCGGCCTGGCGGCAGGGATACAGGCCCATCCCTGGTGCCACAGGGCCCCCAAGCACAGAAAAGGAGCGGCTCAGACACAGACCAAAATCCCAGAGGAAACGTGACAGCCCAGGAGGGCTTTTCCCTTCCTGCAGTGACTAAGGGACCGGCTGGGGGTGGGGGCGGGGTGGCGCACCTTTGGTGGCGAAGGCTTCGGCCAGCATCCGCAGACGGTACGGGGGCACGGCCGTCAGTGGCAGCTCGTCGAGGCCCACCCGGGCGTAGATGTTGAGTGCTTCCTTGTAGTCTCCTTCCACGTAATTCAGCTTGGCCATGATCAGATTCGACTCCTGGAGTAATTCTGACTGGAGGGAAAAGCAGAGTGAAACCACATTCTTCCAACGAGGCCAGGCAGGAGGTTCCGAAACCCCCCATCCCTCCCCCCGGGAGGGCCCGGTGCCGTCCACAGTGGGGAGCAGAGCACACGCGGGGCCCCGGGTTCCAGCCCCAGCACCGCTCGGTGCCCTGAGTACTGTGAGCACGCAGCTGGGAGAGCCCCCGGCACCTCCAGGATGGAACCCCGACATTAAACAGGGGCCCCGAGCAGCAGCAGAGAGGGGAGGGCATCGGCCTGGTCAGTGGCCAACGGGAACCACCGGCAGGAGTGACCCCTGTGCACAGCGGGGTGTGGCCTAAGCACCAATCAATGGACTGTCAGCGAGCTGACCAACACCATCGGGCCCATGGAAGGTTGGCACGGGGGCTTCCAGCGCCCAATGTCAGCCCATGGCAACTGGTGGAGTGTTGGCCGAGGGCGGGGGTGGGGTTCGGGGACAGGAGTAACTACTTCCAGGTCAGAATCTTCGTGGGTGATGAAACAGTCCCCGTGTGAGACAGTGGTTGTGTAAAACACGGGAAGTCACGCTGAGCGTGGCCGCTATTGCGGCCACCCGACATCATATAATCTTCATAATCAGCAATGGAAAACAAATGATCGAATGATGTCTTTTTGGCAGGTCTGAATGTTGGGGGAAATTCCAAATAATCATGTTGGGTCTTTTGTCATAATATTGAATGTGATCTATGGAGAGAGAGAGAGAGAGAGAGAGAGAGAGAGAGAGAGAGAGAGAGAGAGAGAATAAAGTGGAAATCTGCCACACAGGCGGGGGGGAAGGGGGTATACTGGGGTTCTTGGTGGTGGAAAATGTACACCGGTGAAGGGACAGGTGTTTGAGCATTCATTGTATGACCGACCAAGACTTGAACTGAAAGGCTTTGTGACTGTTCCCACGGTGATTCAAAAAATAAAACTTTACAAAAAAAAAAAAGCCATGCTGAGGTGGATGGCGAGGTGAATTCTGGGTAAAGCCAAGGCTTCCCCGTCGGCCCCCGGGCAGGGCAGGACCAAGAACACTGGGGGTCTTTGTGACCCCAACATGCGAACCTGGAGAAGGAAGCCCCAGTCACTGAGGGTGGGGAGACGGCCCACTGCATGGGGGGGTCTGGGGGGAGGGGAGGGGAGGGCACTGCCCACTGCACGGGGGGAGGGGGGGCTGGGAGGGTGGGGAGGGCACTGTCCACTGTAATGAGGGTGGGGGGTGGAGCGCAGCCACCCAGACCCCCCCAAGAGGGATGTTTTTCAAACTGGGGCCCCAAATCCAGCTTTCTTCCAGGCCCACGTGTTTCTGCAGGCTGTGCTCAGGGCTTGAGAAGGAGGCAGCCGGGCTCCTGCTAGGGCCCCCCGAGCCCCACCAAGGAGTCCGCTCAGCATCTCGATAAGGAGACAGTCTGCCTCCCAGGGCCGGGCTCGGCCCACCTGGCTCCAGCCTTCAGCGCTCCGACCTGCAGCCACACGCTGCCCAGCTGGGCCAGGGGTGCCACATGCAGGAAGGTGCAGGCGGCGTCCAGCCAGATGCCAGGTCGGCTTCTGGTCATTTCTACAAGGGCCCAGGGGGGCCTCCTGGAGAGGACGCCAAGGCAGGAAAAGGGCTCTGAGGAGCCAAAGGGCTTCAGGGTAGCCCGAGAAAGAGACCAAGCGAGGAAACGGGATTGTTGGCCAGCAGAGAAATCCAAGCAGGATGGGCCGGGGGACCAGGCAACCCCCTACCCCCACCTGGGCCCTCCGAGACTCTCCCACGAGTCTGATCTCCTGGGCCCGGGCACCACGCGCTCACCCCGACCCCGCGCCCCTGGGAATGGCCAGCGAGCACAGAGCCGGGAGCAAGTCCCAAGCCCCTCAATGTGGGGGAGGGAAGGAAAGTTCTGGAGAGGATACACCCTTGTGGCGGTGGGGTGGCACAACAGGGCCAAGGCTCTGAGCTCGGGTGACTTCAGGGTCACTCATGTCTATTCTGGGAGGAATCTTCTGTTAAATTCAGACAGGGTGTGACCCTGTTCAAGAGCTGGGAGCTGAGGGTGGGATGTGAGCACTGCAGGGATGGGAGCACTGCAGGGACGGGCAAGGAGGGACGGGAGCACTGCAGGGACGGGCAGGGCAGGGTGGGAGCACACACAGCCCGGACTCTCTGGGGAGGAGCCAGCTTGGCAGAGGCCACGGGGCAGGGGTGCTGGCCCCTGAGAGACAGGGCTCTGGGGCGTTCAGCTCACAGCCGAACCCAGACCCAGATGCGCGGCTCTTCCTGTCACTCTGCGCTGCTCCCCGCCCCCCCCTCCTCGGCTCAGCCTGGGGTGCAGTGGGCACCCCTCCGCCTGCAGCTCCCAGACGGAGACAAGTCGACCTCAGGGCTCAGGGCAAGAGAAGAACGGGGGGCGTGGCTAGCCCGCCCGGCCAGCGTCCCTGCACCACAGCCGTAGGACTCTGGAACACCCTCCTTATTTATTTTATGTATTTTTTAGGGGTATTCAGGTTTATTCTGGCTCTGTGCCCAGGGGTCACTCCTGGCAGAGCTTGGTGGTCCCTATTGGGGTGCCAGGTATTAAACTCGGGTCAGCCACGACACACCTTAACCCACGGACTATCTCTCCGGCCCTAGAATGTTCTCTAGAAAAGGCAGGAAGCTAAAGTGACAAGTTCTCTAGGTTGGTTGGGTTTTCATGCAACAAGAAAGAATACATATCAGTTTAGAAACTCTGAGTTCCAGGACACACCTGAGCACCGAGCTCCCAGGGAGAACCCACGGCCCAGAGGAGAGCGGCCAGCCCCGGGCCAGAACCGAGAGCCCCAACAGGTGCGGGGCCCAGAGACTGACGCCGGGCCTGTCCCCAGCACACAGTCAGGCCAGAGCAAGCCCTGGCCAGACAAGGGGTCTCACTGGCCGTCACCTGTGTGCCCTGACCCACTGCCACTGATCAAAACCCACCAAGTCCCCAGGAAGCCCTGACAAATGCAGATGACATGGAGACCCCCGTTCCCACCTCCACAGACCCCCTTCCCTGACCTCCACAGACCCCTGTACCCTCATTTCTGCAGGAGTGAGGCGTGGCCTTCAGAGAGAATCCCAGCACCAAGAACTCAGCTTCTGATGCCCCAAAGGCACCCCAAGATGGTAAGCCCATGGCCTCTCCTGTTAAAGTGATGCTTGTGGCCAGGGAGGCGGGTCCAAGGGCAGGAGGCATCTGCAGGGCCCCCGGTCTGATGGGAAAGACCAGAGGAATCATTCAAGAGCCCAACTGCAAAAGGGAGTTGCAGTGAAACCAACACTCCCCAACACAAGTTACACAAGCGGCCCTGGCGCCATCCGCCTCCCACGGGTCACGGCGGCTGCTGTCGGGACAGTCTTATCTCTCAAGGCCCCTCCCGGTGCTCTCAGTGACTGGGCTGATGGGCTGGTGCCAGGGCCTGGACCCGCGGGGCTGGCTGCTACCGGCACCGCTCAGGGGAACCACGAGGTGCCGGGGGAAAAACTGGAGCTGGCTGTATGCAAGGCAGCGACCCCCCCACCCATGGTCCCCCCAGCCCCTAGGAAAGTTCCCATCCAGAATAAGAGTAAAGCACACAGGATGCATCAAAGACAAGCATCAAAGTGTAGGCGGGGGACGGGCACCCTGCTGCTCCGAGAGTCAACGGGGGTCCCCGCTGCGGGGAGTCTAGGAGGACAGCCAAGAGGCAGCAACTCGGCTGCTCCAGGAGGCAGAAGAGGCCAGAGCAGGAGTCCCAGGGGCCATCTCAGACCCACATGCACAGCAGCGTTATTCAAGCAGACAACAGGCGGGAGAAGTGACCTAAGTGTGCAGGGCTGGACACGATGTGACCTGTCCAAGTAAGCGATGTGGTTCATGCTTTAAAAGTAAGGGGATGGGGGCTGGAGCGATAACACGGCAGGTAGGGCATTTGCCTTCATGCGACTGACCCGGGTTCGATTCCCAGCATCCCATATGGTCCCCTGAGCACCATCAGGGGTAATTCCTGAGTGCAGAGCCAGGAGGAACCCCTGTGTGTCACTGGTGTGACCCAAAAAGCAAAAAAAAAATAATAATGATTAATAAATAAAAGCAAGGGGATGGGGCTAAAGCGATAGCATAGCTGATAGGACATTTGCCCTGCACGTGGCAGACCCAGGTTCGATTCCCAGCATCCCATATGGTCTCCTGAGCACCACCAGAAGTAATTCCTGAGTGCCAAAGCCAGGAGTAACCCTTGTGCATCACCAGGTGTGACCCAAAAAGCAAAATAATAATAATAATAATAATAATAATAATAATAATGTAAGGGAATGAGGGGTTGGAGAGACAGTACAATAGGTAGAGTGCTGGCCTTGCATGCGACCAGCCTGGGTCAGAGCCCTAGCACCCCATAGGGTGCCCTGAGCCCCACCAGGAGTGACTCCTGAGCACAGAGCCAGAATTAAGAATTAAGTCCGAGACACAGCTGGGCATGCCCCTCCCCCTCTCCCCAATACACACACACACACACACACACACACACACACACACGGGAATAAATTCTGACATAGCCTACGAGATGCATAAATTTTAAAGTTACTGGCCCAATAAATGCATGAGTTAAAGACAAAGGCTGCCGGATTCTGCTTATAAGACGTCCCAGAAGTGGTCAGAATCGTGGCTGGGGGCGGAGAGAACTAGAGCAAAAAGGGGCATGGGGGGGGGGGGTTCCTTCTGCATGATGGAGAGAGTTCGGCGGGGGAGGGGAGGAGGGTAGCTGCCCCTCGATGGGGATCTCTCAGTACCGCCGCGCTGGTCTCCGATGGGGTGGGGCAGGTGTGTGCAGGGAGCCGGGGGTCGCCCAGTGGTTCTCAGCCCCATCCGGGACAGCTGAAAGCAGGACCCCAGGATACGGCCCTGCTCAGGCCCTTTGATGGAGGGGGGCATGGGAGGCAGGACCATCAGGGACACCCCACAATGCTGGGTGGGGGCGACAGGTGAGGAGGGAGGCTGTCAGGGGGCCTTGAGGCCAATGGCACTTTCTTGTGTTTTATAGACATCCATGTGGGGGGCAATTTGTCTTGTTTGGGGCCACAGCAGGCTGTGCTCAGGGGACCATGTGCTCTCGGGGATCAAATCCGGGGCCTCTTGTGTGGAAAGCACGCGCTCAGCCCTCTTACAGAGATTTCGCAAATTTGCGCAGGGTCAGAGGGGCGGTTGTGAGGTTCACACCCGGTGATGCCCTGGGCATATTCCTGGCTCTGCACTCAGGAATTCCTCCTGGCGGTGCTTGGGGGGGGAGGGGGATGCTATGGGTTGTTGGGGCTCGAACCCAGGTAGGCTGTGCGCAAAACAAATGCCCTACTCTGCTGTACTATTTGCTCCAGTCCCAGATCTTACAAAATTTTTTTCAAAGACGGAACAGGGTCTGGGAAGGCAGGGGAAAGAGTAGGGAGCAAAAGGATGTTTTCGCACTGGGCTGAGGGGTCCACAAAGGAGCCACATCCTGGAACAAATCAGGGACCCAGAGAAGTGCCTGGGAGCCGGCTGGGCCAGTCAGCAACTGGACTGGAGCAGCCCTGGGTGGGGGGTGGGGGAGGAAGAGCCGGCCTTGCAGGGGTAGGGGTGGGGGGGGGGGGGGATGCAGCTCTCTAGAGTAGGGGCGGTATCAGCCAGACCAGGGCAAAGGAGAGAGGTTCAAGAGATGAAAAGGATCCAGAAGGAGCCAGAGAGGAAGGACGTGAGCTGTGAGAAACGGGAGAAGAATAGCAGGGCGGGGATGCTTCCCGGCACGCCCAGGCCGGCTGCACCCCCATGGGGCAGGCAGGCCCGCGGTCACGGGGGGACCCACCAGCTCTGGCCAGTGACTGGGGACCCTGGAGCAGCATGTTTTATTTTATCTTGATTGGGGAGGATTTGAGGGGGGGGGGGGACCACACCTGGCAGTGCTCAGGGCTGACTCCTGGCTCTGTGCTCAGGGATCACTCCTGGTGGTGCTCGGGGGATCCTAGGTGGTGCTGAGGATAGAACGTGGGTTGAGCACCTGGGCAGGCAAGAATCTTATGCCCTGTTCTCTCTCCTCTCCTCTCTTCTCTCTCACCCCCTCCCCTCCCCTCCCCTTCTCTTTTTTTCTCTTCTCTTCTTTTCTCTTCTCTCCTCTCCTCTCTGTCTCCCTCTGTCTCTGTCTCTTGCTTTGTCTCTGTCTGTCTCAATCTCTCTGTATCTCTCCATCTGTCTCTGTCTCTGTTTCTCTCTCTCTGTCTCTCTGTCTTTCTCTCTGTCTCTGTCTGTCTGTCTGTCTGTCTGTCTCTCTCTCTCTCTCTCTCTCTCTCTCTCTCTCTCTCTCCCCAGCCCATCCCCCTGCCCCAGGAGCAGCATGCTGGGGCAGGAACTGTTACAGGAAGGGATAGTCCTGACAAGTCTCTGTTGTAGCTCGGGTGGGACCGGGCGTCCAGGAGGGTCAGCGTGGTAGCACACAGGCCCTTGGCCCCTTGGGTGCTTCCCTCGGGAGTTTTCTCAGGAAACTGTGTCACTGAAGACTCCCCAGAGCGCCCGCAGGCAGGCAGCTCCCAGTGGGGATTGAGCCTGACTGTGAGGTCAGGGGGGATGGAGGCGGAGGGCAGCTGTGCACCCAGCCTGGCCCTGGGTTCCTTCCCCCCCCCCCCCCCCCCCACAGCTCACCCTCCCCGCCCCTGCGGCACAGAGTACCTTGAGGTTCCCACGGTCCAGGGCGGCAGTCAGGTGCTTGCGGACCTCGGTGAGCTGGGGCCGGGGCCCTCGGGGGCTGGCGCCCTGGCGCAGGGGGTGCTCCTTCAGGTACTGCTCCAGCTTCGCCTCCCCGAGGAGGAGCTCGGCCATGTCATCTGTAGAGGACAGAGGGGGCAGCTGAAGGGGGAGAGGGACCCCCACCCTGCGCACAAACCCGGCCAGGTCTCCGGCACTCCCTAGGCCTGCCACGGGGGCCAAGGAGACACCCCCTTCCAAGGAGTCCTCTCGGGCATACAGAATGTTCCAGAAGTAGGTGCACCCACACAGGTGGCGGTCTGGGCCTCCTCCGTCACCCCCACAACCACTCTGCACTCTCAGAGAGAGAGAGAGAGTTGTGTGGCTGGATGTGACACACTGGGGGTCCACACACACACAAGACCCCAGTCTGGGTCTGCCCAGAGAGACATGGGGTGCTCTCCTCGCCCTCCGGCCTCCGAGCCGCTAGGACATCTGTCCCACCAGGATGCTGAGACGGGCTTGCATCGGAAACACCCAGAGTCTGTTGCTTGCCCCTGGCTGAAGTGGGACCCCACGGTCACAGAGGTAAGGCCAGCGCTGGCTTGTCCACTGCGGCGCCAGGCGCAGGCCAGAGGCACAGCACCGGCAGCCTGGCTAGGAACCCAGCGGACGGACCTTCACATTGGGTCACTGGGTACCCCTGTAGAGCTCCCTAAGTGCCACTTTGGGGGGGAGCAGCCCTCGAAAAAAAATAATAAATTTTAATTTTAATTTTCCAGAGCTGCTCCCTCCAGAAGCAGCTCTCTGGCGTCCAGGCTGTTCAGAATCAGCCAAGGTCACCCCCATCCAGGTGCTCTGCTTCCCTGGGATGGAACGCGGAACCAGATGGAAATGGAGGGTCAGGAAGGACGGCACCCAGGGCAGGGGCCACTGTATCTCTGCTCGGTCTCTGATGTCCAGGCGCAGGAAGGACGGTGTCCCTGCCAGTTCGCCATCTAGAAGACTCATCCCAAGCCCAGGAGCCAGACAGCAATGCAGGCTCAAACTCCTGCAGAAGCCCCGGGGTCGATCCCCGTGGGGCCCCCAGAGCACTACTGGGAGAGGCCCCCAGCACTGGCGGGTGTGGCCAGCCCCTCCCCCCCACCCCATGCATCACGAGGATGCTGGGGACTGAGTGTTTCTTTAGAGCCAAGAGCTGGAAACGGAGAGGGTGGCCAGGCTAGCAAACCGGGGTGGCCCAAGTTCCCCACAAAGCAAGCTGCCCAGGGTGAGGAGGGAAGGGGCGCACACAGACAGACGCCAGGGGGCCCGCAATACCAACATGTGTTTAAGGATACCACCCCCCCACAAATAAAAGGGCTCCCAGACTTGAGAAGTCTGAGGGGAGACGCACCCGCTCAGCACCATGGCCCCTCCTCATTCACCCAGGTCTCTTCTTCCCCACAGATATTTACTCATGCCTAAATGTCTTAAACAGAGCACCACAGCCCGAGAGAAATACATACAAGACACACACACACACACACACACACACACACACACACACAGAAGTATGTTTTTTTTTTATAATTTAGTAACTATCTTAGAAAAAAAGAGCAGGTGAAAAAAATTAATAATATGCATTAGCTCAGTGTAGACCAAAAAACCATCAGTTGAACAAGAACGAGAACCTAAATTGCTGAGCTATTTATTTTCTCTTCCTACGGCTGCTCACGGCACACAGCAGGACCAGCAGCAGGAAGCCCATCCCCCCTCCTGCCCCCCCTCCCCGACATCACGACACGGTCCCTGTCCCTAAATCCAGGTGCCTGTCTCTGCCTCTGGGTCCCCACAGAGATGCCTAGAATAATCGCCACCAGGGGCGAGGCAGGAGCTGCTGAGTGACAAGCTTTGCATGGTGTTTGTGTTTTTTTTTTTCACCTCTCCTCCTTGTAGTCTGAATTATTTATACTGAGCAAAATCACTTTGTGCGACTTTCAGGGAGGGGGAAAATAAACAAAACCTGTCATCCTTCCTTAAAACCTGGAATATTGGAACGTCGTATGACTGAAGCTGTCTTGTGACTGTGTATCTCATGATGATTCTATTAAAAATTTAAAACTAAATTTTTGTTTTAAAAGTAACTAAAAGAAACCTGGAGGCAGATATATACCAGGATATTAATAACAGTTTTTTTTCTAAATTGTAAGTTAAAAGGTATATGCTGAATTTCCTTTTCTGCATACTCCAGTGGATTAAACTACAATGGGGGGGAGACAGAAACAGAACAAAGGGAGGGACATTTGCCTTGTATGCAGCTGATCCAGGTTCGATTCCCAGCACCCCGTTTGGTCCCCAGAGCACCGCCAGGAGCACAGTGCAGAGCCAGGAGTAACCCCTGAGCATCACTGTGTGTGGCCCCCAAAACAAAAACAATAAAATGAAACACAATGGGAGCCAGGGAGGTAGCCCCGTAGCTGAGCACATGCCTGGTATACAAAGGCCCACGCTGTCTCTGGCACCACTACCACCACACACACACACACACACACACACGCATGTGCACACATGCACGCACATGCATACACTCAAACATGCACGCACACATGTGTATTCACACACACATACATACACACGTGCACACGAGTGCACACATACACACATGGGCACATACACACATGTGCACATTCACGTTCACACAAACATGCATGTACACATGTACATGCATGCACATACATGCACACCTGGGTGCACATGAGTACATACTCACATGTGCACAATCACAAACATACATGTACACATGTGTATGCACACACGCATACCTGGGTGCACATGGCTACACACGCATGTGCAATCATGCACACGCAGACATGCATATACACATGTGCATGCATGCACACACATGCACACCTGGGCGCACATGGGTATATACACACATGTGCACAATCACACACACACAAACAGGCATGTACACATGTGCATGCATGCACACACATGCACACCTGGGTGCACACACACATACACATGCACACATGGGTACATACACACATGTGCACACATATACACGCGCATCCACATTCTCACATACACACACACACATACACACACACAAGTATCTTGAGTCCTGACTGAAATGTGTTAGTCACCAGGACTCTGCGTTACCCTCAGCATTTGGAGAGTGACTCTGAGGTACAGGAAGAGTCCCCTCGCCCCGATCTCCTGGGGTATGCCACGTCCGTCCAGTCATGCACCTCAGCACCATCTTACTTGCACCAGAAAATAATGCACACACACACACACACACACACACACACACACACACACCCCACCCCACAAAGGACAGCACCTCTGCCATCAGCTGTGCGCCAGAGTGGCTTCAGCCCCTCCTAATTCCCCCCCAGCCCCCAAGCAGGGACAGAACCACCACCAACCAAGGTGATGGGCTGGCCCCAAGGAGTCCTCAGCGAGCCTCGCCTGAACCCCCCGGCTGGCAGAGAGAGCTGCACAGAACCCCACTGAGATGGGGTGGGGGGCAGGGAATCAGTCAGTCACACCCAGCGGAGCTCTGGGGCCAGTCCTGACTGTGCTCAGGGTGACACCAGGGACAGAGCCGGGGTCAGCTATGTACAAGGCAAGTTCCCTGACCTCAGTACTATCTCCCCAGCCCCAACTGGGGGCAATTGCAGGACCCCAGGCCTTCATATACCTCTTCCAGGTTTTCTGATCTAGAAGCTTGTTTTCTGACCTAGAAGCTTGGAAAAACATTTGCTTAAACAAAGGGATGGGAACTCCAGGGGCAGGGGTCAGGGGCAGCTAGAACTCTGGGAAACGCTCTGGTTCCATCCAGGCAGAGAATCAGGAGACACATTTCCCTTCCGCGAGCTGATACCAGTTGAGTCACGATGCGGGTCCCAGGGGGCCAGAGCCATAGGACAGCAGGGAGGGCGCTGGCCCTGCACATGGCCAACCTGGGCTCAATCCCTGACATCCCATATGGTCCCCAAGCCCACCAGGAGTAAAGCCTGAGCATCACTGGGTGTGGCCCCCAAACAAAAACAAAACAAAACAAAACAAACAAACAAACAAAAAAATCCAAACAGACAAGCAGTCCTGGATGGAAGGTGCTGGAGACCAGGCAGGTCCTAGGAGCGCCCCTAGGACTGTGTGCAGGACAGGGGATGTGGGGAAAGGCATTCAGGCAGAAGGAACAGAATGAGCAAAGACGCGTGGCATGCAGGTACGGCCTCACTGGCTGTCAGACAGACAAGGCCATGGAGGGGCCGGGGAGGAGAAGCAGCCGGAGGAGCGGCCGGCCGGGGAGCCTGGGGCGAGCACCTCAGCTCCAGAAACAGAGAGAACCCCGCTGAATTTCAGCAAAAAAAGGGGGTGTGAAAAAAAATCAGATAATTTTCTAATATTTCCAGGCTCCAATTTCCCAGGGAAACGTTTTCTTCACTCTCCTTCAAGAGGCGACTTCCCCGCCGCTCATCCTCCCGCGCTGGGGGCGGCAGCAGAGACGGTTCGTAACCATGCCCCCTCCCGCCCGGGACAGCTCCCAGCAGCCGCCGGGCACCGCCTGCAGGTGGCGGGCAGCCAGCCCGGTGCTCCACGGGCACCGTCTGCCCTTGCCACGGCCTCCCGCGTGCCGAGCAGACGAGCGACCCGGGAGGAGCTGAAGCCACCTCTGAGCAGCTGCTGCCGGAGCCCGCGCCACTGAGGAAGGAGGAAGGTCACCTCAGCGCGGGGGCGAGGCGGGGACACGGCCTCCAGAGAGGCTGACGACAGCCGAGAGGCGCCCCGTTTGCCCTCTGAGGGGGTCACCGCCCAGAAGACAGGACAGGATGCATGCTAAGCTCCTCCAGAGGCGGCAGGAAGGTGACCCCCGAGAGCGGGAGGCAGATAGGGGGTCAGCGGGGATGCTAGGACCCCCACCTCCGCGGTGGCTTCTGGCTGGCGCATGGGGTTAAAAGCCCGGGTGGTGTCTGTCCGGGCCTCTGGGCTCTGCCTCCGAACCTCACAGCCGCCGGCCAACTCCCACCGACCCCTCGCCATCAGCTGGCACGGAGGGAGGCAGGCGGCTCTGGGAGACGAGCTCGGCCTCTCGAGCCTCAGTTCACTCAGCTGGAAACTGAGGCTTACAGGTAGTGTCAGGGGCTGC